TTTCTTTTCTTTTCCCCTATTTAATTTTTTTGTTTTTTTGGTTTCGAAAGACAAGTCCGATGTTTATTTTTTATTGCTCGATTTCTCCAAATCTACTGCTGACTTTATGTTTTTCTCTATGCTAACCCATCTATTATCATCTTTCAATTATCGTCTCATAAGACTAGTTACTGTAATTGTCTCTTGGATGTTTCACTCACTTGCACTGCTTATCGTATTGATCGTACTCACCGTCCTTGTCGTCCTGGGTGCGTATCTCGGAGATGACGCGATAGTCCTCGTTCTTGCGATGATAGGCCATGTACATGTCCTCTGGCTCGCTGGCCAGCACATCGGCCTTGCGCTGCTCGATCAGTTCGAGGCACTCGACACGATCCCGTCCAGCAACGCACTCCATGCGAATGCCCGCCTCCGAGGGATCGGCGAGCAGCTTCTGGCAATCACTGAAATAGATTTGGGGCACGCACAAGCGATCTGCAAGAGATATGTACATATATATGTAAGTGTGTATTAGTCACGATCTGTATAATATATATATATATATATGGATACTCAGATAGTTTGCTTACAGATGGGCTCCTCGTCGGCAGCATAGCTGCCATGGAGCAGCAGCGCCAGCAGCGTCACTGCTGGCAGAATCCGTGTGATCGTCGCTGATGCCATCGTAGTCGCCTTGGATCAACTGTGGAGCTCGGCTTGCCGGCCGGCGCTTTTTATAGGCTAGCAGCTGACAAGGGGTCGTCGCTGCTGTTGCGATGAGCTCGTCTCGCTTTTTGCTCTATTTGCAATTATTTTCGCGTTTGTTTGCTCTGTTTTGTTGTGTTGTCTTTTATTTTGTTTCGTTTTGTTTTGTTCTGTTGTGTTGTGTGTGGTTTATTTTTTTCTTTTTTTTTTTTTTCTTTTGCCTCGATTGCAACGCCCGCCAATGTTTTGATTGCCGGTGATCTTTCCATTAAGCGACAACTGCAAAAAAAAAAAAGAAGGAAAAAAAAAACATTAAACGATACGTATATAGCAACGTCTCAGGCACTCGTCGCCCGATCGCGGGTTCTTCCCGGCTGAGCTTAGGTCTGCGCTACGAAATAGCGACAGGGCGTGTCGATCGGCCCACGCGCATTTATAGATCAATTGATAATGATCGTGCTAGCGCTTATAATTAGTGTATCTTCATGGCTAATCCCAGCTGAAATGGGTAATTGGGTAGAGTTAGGCAAACGATCGAGCAGCGATCAAAGTTGAACAACCAGATTCATCTCAAGTCAGAGCCACAGAAAACTTGCCTAGCCAGTTGGCTTTATGCAGGCCTTAACAGCCAGTTCTATGCTACAATTAGTGATCAATAAAGATATTAAAAATCAAATTAATAATTCATATTTAACAAACATTTCGAGTATATTGTATATACACATATATTTATTCAACTGCTCAACTATTCAAGTAGTTCAATTTAAATTCTATTTGGCATAATGTAAATCGGTTGATTTGCCGTTCGCCTCTACCAATTGGCTGAATCAGCAAACTGTTTAAGGCTGAGCACGTTCATATCTATATTTATATGTATATGCCTATGTACACTGAACGAATTTTCAGTAGAGTTGGCAAAAAAAAAAAAAAAACAGCAATACTCAATTTATTGCTTTAATTCAAAGAGTAGAAATAATAAGTAATTAAAATAAATAATAAAATAAT